TGACTAGTGGTTGAACATTCTTATTGAATGGAATTGGGTCTTGACAGTGTCGCTGCTGCTAGTCCTGTTGAACTCCTTGTCGATGGCTTCCATTTCTTTTCTGAGAAGGTCAATCTGAACGAAGGTACGCACTTTGTTGTCAAGCGGTTTCACCTTCAGGTGACGCAGGATAATGTGCGCGAGATCCTGGCAGAACTGGTAAGGATGTGCCAGCATTTCCTTCGAGGGGTTGATGCTTGAAAATCCTCAGACATCCATTTCTGCGCATACGGGCTGAAGGCCCTGATTCCGGACTCAGAAGTCTCAAGCCCACAAGCTTGATGCATTGCTTACCTCTCAAGGTAATGAGACCGATTTTCGGAAGTGTAAACATTTTACCGGCTCGGTGAAGCACCATGATGAAGTATCTTCTGTGCTTCAACTGGTATCGCGCAATCGATGCCACGAATTCAACCATCGGGATGTAGTGCTTCCGCTTCTCTCAGACCTCCTGTTGGTCTTGTTGGATGTTCTGCATATTTGACCATGGTCCACAGACTGGTGCCATGAGGATGAGATCAGGCGCTTGCTGCTTGATGATCTCCACGACCATGTGCTTGGATGTCAGTACGTCAAACCCATTGCAGATGCCAACTGGAGCCCCAACCTTTCGTGCGAGCGCCTGTTCAGGAATGGATGTCATGTCTTCCACGAAAATGTTCTGCAGGGAGTTGTCTTTCCAGCAATGCGTAATGGTTTGGAGGTTGATGGCTTAGGAGTTGGTGTAAATGACACCTTCTTCTTGGAATCGGCTCAGGAGCCGCCTTGTTCTTTCTGCAAGGATTCCTGCTCATCTGGCAACAAGAGATCACTTCCAGGTTTCCCAAAAACAGGATGGTCTCATCTTTCCTGACCTGTCATGTTGACTTTGATGAGTCAAATTCCAAGGTCAAGTCCAACCATTGCTCCTTCCAAAGAAATAAATGACTTTTCCTGTTGACCATATTCCTCCTTTGCTTCCGTCGGAACAACTCTTGGATTTGTCTTCCTGCCAGTACAAAACCTTGCCCTTCACCTGAAGAGGTTTTGAACTCATTCGGAAATTCTGAGCAAGGTCTCTACGGATGTCCTCGGACTGTCGAGCTTCTTGGAACGCTTGTCTGGACAACTGCTTAATCTGGATGGCTGTCAGCTCTTCCTCGTTCCTGTCAATCGTCAATTGAGTTGGAGTTGCGACATCAAGGTGGATGAGATCTGCTGGCCGTCGTCCGAATGCGACTTCGAATGGTGTTACACCCCCGTAGGTGACGGTCTGATTCCTGACAGTTGCAGCGGCCTTCACAAGTTGTCGTCACCTTCTTCAGTGTTGCAGGTGCTGCGCCTGCCTTAAAGGAGTTGAGCGTGATCTTCCTTTGCGCCTTCAAGAGCCGAACTGCTGCTTCAGCTCGATTCGGCCATGGTGTGTTCGGTCCCAGCGATATTGGTGTGATGTCGGGGGATTGATAGAAATGTTCCCATGTTTCCGTCATGAAGGCTTGATCTCCGACAACTGATTTGGGCTGCAAGTGGCACTGGTCAAAATAGTTGCTGGGGACAGTGATGTTCTCCACTTCCTGCGTGGTTGTCACTGCCCAATGTCGTTGCTCCATCCAGGATGACAAAAGCAATGATATGTTCTCCGGTTCCGAGAGGAACCTGACAATGATCAGTGAATGTCATGTCTCCAAATGTGTCCGCTCGAAGTCCACCTGTCTTGCTTCTTGATGGTGCTTGCTTTGCAGCTTGGCAAACTTCGCACTCGCTTCGGATTTTGTCAAATAAATTGTAGGTGGATTTTGGCAAGTGAAGCGCACGAGTTCTGAATCGGAGTTGATCGGTATTCATGCGATGATGCTGAAGGTGGAGCTTCTTCAACTCTTGGGGCCTTGACAATCGCTGGTGGGTTCTGCCTAAGGCAAGCGGTACCGATGTTGGTTTGTCTGCGGATGGAGCAGTAGGGTCTGGCTCAATGGTCGACCGGCCTTTCTTGTCGATGATCATGTCTGCTGCAGATCCTGAACCTGATTCTTCATCTTTCGCGGATTGTCTGCGAAGGTGAAATTGTCTTACCTTTCCATAGGTTGATCATTGGTTTGTTCGCCTGGGATGTAAGTCTCCAATTGTGTTCTAGATCTCCGCCCTTGGATGCATCAATGATTTCTTTTCTACGTTCTCGGCTAATGTTGTCAGGATTGATTGCGCCTTACATGCGTGATGTGCACACAGATGAGCTGCTTGTTTCGAGTATCCAATGGTCCTGCTTCAGAGACCCAATGATTTTTGGAGTTGCTGTGTCCCCTTTTGTCTTGGATGACTTGGATGCACAAACAGTTTCGCTCTTGGAATAATCCCCAGTTGTCATCATCGTAGACATAGTTTGCGAGGCCTCTTGCAGCGATCTCTCCATGTGATTTCACTCTTGCCATTTTAGCAAGATCGACCAGCGCCTGTCCTGTGCCGGATACTCTGTTTGGCGATCCATGCCAAAAGTGTGGTTTGTCACATTGAGGCTGATGCTGAGGAGGGTCGGTACAGTGCCTTGTTCAAGGATGTCGATGTTAGTACTGGCTGGAGAAGTCGTGTGATATTTGAGACGCAAGGTCCAATTAGCTGTCTCTCCATTCACAAATGTGAATGAAATTGGTCTCGGCCGGAATGTACTGGTAGGAGATGAGGTCTTTCATGGGTTCGATGGCCGGAGTAAAACGCTGGATTGCACGCCAGCTGCCCAGATCTGGTACATCCGTTGTCCAGGATCGCATAGGTCGGATTGTGCTGAGGGCTGATCACAGGCGCCATCAGCTTTGTTGGTAAAAGGTTGGTCTGCCCAACTGGCATTTGTAGGCTCTGTGGATGGCACAGTCTGCTGATTGGCGGACTGCTCCTCCAAATTCTCTGCTGTGGCTGCGAACGTTTTGGATTTTCCTTTGTAATGTCCGCCCTTTCCTTTGCCATTGTCATAGGATGGATAACCTTTGTTTCCATCATAGGGATATTGGAATTTGATTTTCCTTTCTTCCCTTTCTTTCCGTTGCCTTTTCCCCAATATGCTTGGCGATTTTTGTTGGCCATATTGGTCCCGCCGGAGCCACTTTTTCGAAGGGGTTTGAAGCCACCTCGTTGGTGACTGCGCTTTTTGCTTACTGATTTTCCTTTGCCTTTCCTCTTTTTGAATCTGAAATTTCGCCCAGACACCACCCCTCCTTGCAACGAACGCATCATTCTCCTCCAAAACCCAAAATGTCTCTTCATCATTGGTTGCCATGAAGTCTTCCACTCCTTCTACATCTTCCACCCAGAAGCCTTCTTCGCCTTCACACTCCCCTTGTTCTAGGATGTTGAAAAAAACGACTCCGGTTCTGCGGGAGGTCGGATGGATGGATCCTGGATGGATGTTCTGGTCGTAATGAAGAGATCGTGATACTATGTCTTCATCATCTCGTAGGTGTAATTCTCGAGCAAGATGTTTCTCAAAGACATTGCACTGATCAGTCTTCTGAGGGGACATGGTCTGCGCGCCGTTGAGGTACTGCCTGGGTACTTCTGGATTGTCTGTGGACAGCAGATCTGGAGGCGCGGCTCTGGCACCAGCTGCTTGCTGATGCGCGGCCAATCTTCTTGCGTTGGCATCGTGTCTTGATGCCAGGAACTCTGGCGACTGTGCCGTGTGAACAGACATCAAGTCCATCCAGGCTGCCTTCAACCTCATCAAGAGAATTTCAAATTTGGATGTGAATATGACTCAATGAGGAACTCGGTGTTCTGCCTTCTGTGATTGAAGAAACTGACAAGTCTGTATAAGCACACGTCGTCGAGCCCTTTAGGAAGAACTTCTTCAGCGTGTTCTTGAAATAGTTGACTCCTTCATCAGGATGTTGCAACTTCGATGGTGGTGAAGGTCACCCAATCATCTACGAGTTCTTCATATCTAAACCAGCTGACTTGTCCGTCGTACGACGGCGGCTGCTTGGCGGTCATAGATAAAATGAGCGTCTCTTCAGTGAAGCCGGATGATCGGCCTACACTTGAATAGGCCTCCATGAAGCCTTCTCCATCGGATGACATCTTGCTTGGATCTCTGCGGAAAACCTGCTCCACTGCCACAAGTTGAGTCCCACTGCCGCTATCCCTGAAGGGGACCGATATAATTTGTGGTAGTAGAGGATCTTTGTGTGGTCCCTGCGTCCCAAGTGCTGTCCCTGCGTCTATTCCGGAGAGTCCAAGTGCTGGGATTAGCCCTGGTAATTGTGTGTTGTGGATTACCTGAAAGTGGTCCGCTGTAGCACCTTTGTATCACGGATGCAATGGCTCAGTGAGCTATGTGCATCGAGTGTCCGAAAAAACAAACACAGGGGGGTGGGGCCGCCCCCCCATTATGTTTGTTGAAGTGCCTAATACATATATAGATTACATAGATTACATACATACATACATACACCTGTCTCCAAAGGTTGCAGGAACCAATGAAAGGCTGCAAAGCCAGAAAGGCAAAAAACCACCTGCTCGAGAGGAAGTGGAAAAGCAGAGGATGCAAAAAGCCGACCGAAACACGCATAAACCCACGAAAGAGTCACAAAAGCCAAACAGCCGCAAAGCCACCCACCCTGAAAAAAAGAGGAAATAAGCAAAACCGTATCCTTGAAAAAGGCCCTCCATTTTGAAACCAAACCGTGGCTGCGGGATGCGGTTGGTTGCCTAAGTCTTGCGCGTAACTCCACCACAGGCTATCACCCAAGGCTTGAGACTGACCCGATTTACTTCATCTGGGCTGCCACGCTTGCAAGCAAAACCGGCACAAGGCAGCGCCGACAAACACCATCCCACATCAGCAAACATCTACCAGTACGCGTGTTGCAGTGTGGAACGACAAAGTAGCAAAACTAGCCCAAAACAATGATTAAACAGAAACACGCTCCCTACTTCCCACACATTCCTCACATCCCAACATCCCAAAAACATCCCGGAGCCTTCGGCCAAGAAGCTCTAGCAGGCACACGCCCATTCCACCGCCCCATGCGCCCAGCTCCCACAAAGCGGAGTCTCAGCCGCTGAGATACGCGTTAAGCGAACGGTGTGGAAGTACATAGCCCTGCCTACCGAGTTTGGTGAGCAGTGTTTCCTGGTGGAACCTGAACCACCATAAACATTGGTATATACCACTGTCAGGCAAAGGGGTACGAGCAACGGCCAATGTTTTTGGATCATTTGAGACGCACACGATGATTGAATACTGCCCTAGCACTCAAATCCTGGCGCTTGCGTTGGCAGCCTGCCCCAAAAAAGGAGGCCACGGCACCCCAAGGTGGTCAAAGGTCCTGTTTGGGAAACACGCCCCTCCTGGCTTGGAAGTCCGGGACTCAAATATGTATACGCGCATGTTTATGCATCATGAACAGGAGTACCTCCGAACGCACTGCAGATTGTGTTTTGTGAGGCTCTGCTTCTTTTGTCTGGGCTGCCACTCCTTTGGATGGTGCACCTGTCTCGAGCCCCAGCAAGCTGCCGGATGCAAGTACCGTTAGCACAAGCGTGTGAGCAAGTTTCAGGGATTTTCATCCAGGCTCAGTCTTTCTTTGCCCACACAAGCATCTGTGCGCGCGTGTGTCTGGATTCTGGTTCATACTTAGTGAACCATGTCAAACGGTTTGCAAAGAGATCCCAGCTACTGTTTGGCACGAGCGGTCCTGCTGCATCGCCGCAAACGTAGGTGCGTCTCCTTTTGGCATGCGTTGACGCGCCTGAAAGAGCTGGGTCGACATGGATTCCAAGGACTTGTTGCCGTTGAGACGGGATGGGTGATTGGCCCACTTGATCAATGACGCCAAAGTAGTGGTAGTGGGCGATTGCTTGAGATACAAGCGTGGCTGATCACTGGTCCATGTGTAGTACTTGCTGACGTCTTCTGGCGTGCTGTGCATGGTGAGCAATTGTGACGCCGCCGGCTTGGAAGGCGGTGAAGAAAGTCCGTGAAGAGACTGAATGATTCGGGGTTGCACTGCGCCATCAAACGACTTGCCATCAAGGGCCGCTGCACTGACCGTAGGTAGGGAGCTGGTCGGTGACGAAGATTGTGTGTGATTGGCCGGTGGTGGTGTAACCAACTCTGCATCATCCTTCTGGGTTGGCACCGTAGGGGAAGTCGAAGCGCGTAGCGATGCCGAATACTGAGCCTGGAGCAACTCATGAGCTCGATTTAGATCATTGAACTTCTTGACCATGTCTTCCGCTTGGGTAGAGGGCGTGAGAGTCGCGTGGTGTTCCTTAAGAAACTGAAGCACCAAGTTGGCCAAATGGTCATGAACCTTGATACGCTGGTTGAAGTCGTCAAGGTTGAGCCCCAGTGAGCTGGCAAGGTCCTTTTCCAAAGTAAGCAGGTTGATCGACTGTGATCTTTGGAACAGGTACTCCAAAGCAGGGCCTCGGTGCGAGTGCGAAAGCCTTCCCACGTCACGAATCTGCCGTGAGCAAATGGTCGGAGTAGCCAGTTGGTGATGCCCCCGTGAATGACCTGAACCAGGCGAACGTCTCGGATGTCCATGCCAGACATGTCACGTAGGTTGTTGTGCGGGGTGTTGGCAACCGTCATGGGCAGGCTAAAGGAGTAGAGCTGGTTGATGTCTAGCATGCCATCTCCAGGTGTCCAGTCAACCGGTGGAGTAAGCCATGGCTTTCTGAGGTCGAACTGGTAGCGCAGCTAGGTGTCCAGGCGATGGTGAAGCTTGGGAAGAAGTAACCGGTGGTGGCATCACGGGCGTCATGAACTTCGCTGGCGTGGGCTCTGGAGGAACCGGCATCATGTAGTTGACCGGTGAATGATGGAACTGCTGCGTAGGGTTTGGAATCGATTGATAATTGCCTGGCATCACCGGAAAATTGCTGTTGGAGTTGTAGCCCGAATTGTGTTGCCAGGATACCAAGTTGTTCCAATCCATGCCCTCCGAGACCTGATTGTCATTGTGTTCACGTCGGCGTGCTTTGCGAGATTGAGGGGAAGGACTCCGATCCCGTCTGCGCCGAGTTCTGGATCTGTCACGATCATCCCGTCGAGACATGGTGGCACAACAAACTCAAAACCGCGACACCTCAATCTTGAGAGAATCGAATCCGACAAGATGCAAGTCAACGCAAGTTCAAGCCAAGCACAGATCAACACGCGGTCATGCAGCCAACAGCAGCAATTGTGAGACTTAGCTATGATCTGACGGCTGTCTTCCCTTTAGTGAAACCTCGTTCCTGGTTAAATCTGAAATTCCGCTGTTCTATGAAAAGCACGTTGTGGTCAAATTTTCCGACAGAGTCGGCCCGGGGTCACACGATGGGTACACCCGAGGATTCCCCACGAATGGGGTGTACACACTTAAACTCCAGATGGAGGGTGCTAATCTTTCGAGTACAACTGGTAAGTCTCGGCTTGGATAAGGTTCTTCATGCGTAAGTTTCGGCTCGCAATGCACTCGGTTTCCCTCTAGTGTCGAAAACGTTACAGGTTCAACATGAAGCACACACAGCGAGAGAAACAACGGGCCAAAAGGACTTTGAATCACACGAGTTGCGCAGGTACGCGGAGTTGATCAGACTCCGTATCCTAGGAGCTTGCAAAGAGCTTCGTTGGGCAGAGCTCTGCAAGTCCTCTCTGCCCCCCTGCTACTAATTGTGGTGACAGGGTATTCTGCCACTCCGCACACACACAAACAAACAAACAAACAAACAAACAAACAAAACAAACAAACAAACAAACAAACAAACAAACAAACAAACAAACAAACAACACAGCCATTGCGTTTCGGCTTCGTCGCGTGTCGGCCATGAACGTCTTGTTGTACCCTGATACCACGCTGGGCAACACTAGCACGCTCCTTTTGCCGGTTGCACGCTCAAAATACTAGGGTGAAATGTCCCACCTGCCTCGAGAGACACGACTGGAAAGCCCTGAAAGCTTTTCAAGAATTGCGGCGTGTTGCTCTGAGCATTCTGGGCCTTTTGTTAGAATAGCGCGCGTGCCGCGGCCCTGAGCATCAGGGCGGCGGCGGTTTGGTGGCAGTTTCAAACATTACGACGCAGCGGGAACCGCCAATCTCAGGCGCATCACTCGGCTCCCTATGCGCCCACTGGAAAGACAGAGACTTGCATCAACTTGTGATGGCTTTTCCCCAGAGAGCTTGGAATCTTTCACCGATTCGCTCCAATACGGCAAATTCCCCCTACCGTACCTGGAGGGGGGGCGGGGGGCACCGTTCACATTCTGTTTGGCGGGGGCAAATGGAAAGGGTGGTTTTCGTTCCTGGCGGTGACCAATGTTCCAAGGAAACTATGTCGCGATATGGACATTCAAGCCGTGCACCTTCCGCAGCGTCCTCTTCACGGGACTTGTTTTGGAAGGGAATGGGCCAGGTAGACCACATCACCTTAGGCTTAGCCAGAGCGAAGTCATCGGTAGACGGCACTTCCTCAAAAATGGCAGTCAAAGAAAGCTGCCGCCTCAGCCTCAAATATGTGACAGTCGGGGCTGTCTCCTGCTGAAACTAATTTGCCTACGCAAATGATTTGCGACGGGCAAAATGCCCTCGTAGCCCTCATCCTCTGGCTAGCCTCATCACCACCCATCCAGGTAGTCCATGGGGTGGCTCGAAGCGCAACCGACCCACTTCCACTCCCTCAATTGTCGGTCAGAGGAACAACGGGCTTCATGCGGGGAAGCGCCAGTCGCGCGACTCTCTTACACGCGGAGGGTGACGACAAAGGTAGTGCCGGACCTTCTAAACTTCGGCAGGCTCGGGGGGACCACGTGGAGATGGCAGACCGGCCACGGCACGGGGGGTGCTTCTGTGTCGCCGACGGCTACCTGCAAGCCGCGTCGAGGATATACACAAGCTAAATGCTCTGGTATGTGTGCATGCTGATAAGGCCGGATACCTGCTGCCCATGCCCAGCACAGTGCGGTCAACATTGCGTCACTGCTTGCTACAGGTCACGCGCCGGCGCTGTGCCCTTTACGGATTGACTAATTTGGAGTCATTGCCAAGTGGGTCTCCTTCGCGCAAAACCTGTTCTTGCCTGTTTCAAAAGCCCACGGCTGAGAGGCGGCTTCGCTTCACACCTTGAGGAAAATTCCATTGTCCGAAGTGAGTAGCATCGAAGTGCCGAATGGCAAACATCCACACGGTCGCCTTGGCGACAATTTATGATGGGAGTCATTGAATTTTGCGAATTGTCCACCCGTTTAATCATAAAGCCTCTCTTCCTTGGCGAAAAGGCGCCCCAAATGGGGATCCTTCTATGGATCCTCGGTCGTGGGACATTGAAAGATCAGGGTAAAAAGCTTGTGCAAATGATGCGGCATTGCCAGGGCAACAAAGGTGAAATCACGGCCTTTGGCTCCCATGTGCTGCACAACGATCTGATCTGACGCAATGGCTCGGCCGCTTCTTAGTGTATCTTCGCAGCGTCCTTTGCCGAGCTTATGGCTCGGTTGCACGCTGATGGCAAAAGGCACCAGTCGACTCTTCCAGCTTGTTTGTTCATGTGTCCACCTCTAGACATGTTTGCTTGAGCGGGAAACAAGTAAACACCACTCAAGTGTCACACCCGACATGACCCAACACAAACACCCGTCGCGAACAGCTACCTGCAAGCCGCATTGAGGATATACCAGAGCTAAGTGCTCTGGCGCACGTTTGTGCTGATATGCAGGCCGGATACCCACTAATGCCCAGCACATTGTGCCAGTTAGCATTTCGTCACTGCTTGCTACAGGTCACACACCCGCACTGCAATGCCGTGGTGAGCCACTGCAGCTCGAGCTGACGGCTCAAACAGCAGCGACTTGAGGCATGGGTGCTGCGGGCGCTCTGGACATTGATCACGCACGACAAAGCCTAAGCACCTGCACGCACAAAGTAGGGCAAACAAGTCTGCACGCGAGCAACCTTCAAACCGGGCGGGAGCGGGAGCCATACGTTGGAAGCAACAGGCATGGGACATTGAAAGCACATCAGAGTAAAA